ATTTTTTTCTTCTCCTTCTTCACAAAATTATCCTTGCAATTAAAACTTTTATTTCAAATAGAATGGATTAGTTTCAATTTGTATTTTGTGAACTGAAAGTTTTTTAAAATTATCGATTTTATGAGTTGATAAGCAGTTAAAATAATATACGCTTTACTTGAATGGATATTGTTGTTAAGTCGGCCAACAAGTTGGCAAAATTTATGAGCTCTGTTTGGTTTCTATGATTTTCTGATCAAATACTTTTCCCTTTGTCCAGTATTTAAATCCGCTACCTTTTTCTAGCTACAAATTGAAGCCTCCGATGGCTGATATTTTATACTTTCATTTTCTTTTGTCTTCAGTACATCTTTCAGTCATCTCTCTGCTTCATCTGTTCATTAATTTTCTCTACTGGTTTATTTCTAGTTGATTTTTGTCGGTGAACCAGTTTTACTGCAACGTAATTCTGTTGTCAAACGAATACTGTATTTTAAGTAAAAAAAAATTTCCGTAACTAGAGTAATTTACGGTCAAATAAATAAAGAGAAAAATGATATTTCAATTGAAGGTACAATAGGTTCAACCAAACTGCATTTACATTGTTTGAATTGTTATGCATTAATACGTTTTATCTATTGTTATTTTTTAAATTATTTGCCGTTTTTTCTGATCCATCTATCTTTCTGTAATAATTATAACTTTTTTGTTGATTGTTGTTGACTGTATATGACCCCGTAGTTGAAGTACTTCAAAGAAAACAAATCTGCAAACAGTGTGTATCTTTGTTTCTAAAATTTTAATGTATAATCCTTTCTTCTGATAACATCAATTTTTGCTTATAACGTCATTGTTTATAATAATTTATTACAACCAAAAGTTTTACAGCTAATATAAGTACAAAAATTGGTTTTTCAGCAGTAAAACAGCCTAAATATTTGTAAATTTTTGTGCCCAAATTTTTACTTTAAAGTTTGTCGGTTAACTTTGACACCGTTTCGATAACGATTAATCTTCTCAAGTTGTTTGTTTCATTTCAAAAGTGACACCTTGAGTAATTGATGCAAAACGTGGCGAAAAAGTTTGCGATTTTTAAATTTTACTATTATGTTCACATCACATTCTGCTACCTACTCTGTCATTATACAATTTTATTTGTACTATTAACTGATACAGAGGTGCATATGTGTGCATTTTTCTCACTAAATTCGCTGCTAAAGTTGTTAAGTGCCATTTTATTGACATGTTTTGCTGGTCTTTCCCTGGTTTTTTCTCTTTCACTACCTACAGCCTGAGCCGTTGTCGCCTGAAGCTCCCGAGAGCAGTTCGATTTGTTTAGCTCTCCTCTGTCTATTGGGACTCCTACTTAGTATGGTGGTTGT